AGGACAGCCCGTGCGTGCGTGTGTGAGTGTGTGTGTGTGCGCATGACTCATCCCGCTCATCCCGAATCTGTGACGTGACAAGGCCGGTGCAGCCAGTGAGGGTGTCACGACGCATGGACGCGTCAGCCTGTCGTATATTCTGATCCTCTTTTTAGAGCGCTTCTCGAGAACCATTTTCTTTGGAAGTCCGCTCCGCCGCCTGGCGTATGTACGCACGGTGCCGGGCGGTGCGATAGGAACACGAAGGCAGTGACCTGCATGTGGACGCGTCCTCTGGACGTGTAATTCCCGTTTAATTAGGAGGCAGTGGCGCGGCGAGGCGGCGAGGCGAGGCGAGGCGTCCTGCAGGACAGCGCCAGGAGCCGGCCGGCCAGCCGTTCCCACAGAGGAGGCTGCGGCGGCCCATGGCAGCCCATGGCAGCCGCAGCGAGGTGACTCATACTCATCTCATCACCGCACGGCCACTGCGGCCCGACGCATGCACGGGACACAGTTCCGATGCTAATTACGCTAAAAAACGTAAACAACAGCATTAAAAGCGCTTTTTCCACGACATGTTTAGTCCTGCACACACACGAGCGCGCGCACACACACACTCGCAGGGGGCGTTTTTTGCGGCCGCCGGCGACGCGGTCGACACGGCGTCGTCGTGGACTCGCTGCCACGCTGCGCGCACACAAGCTCATCTTGGGCCATCCCGCTGCAGGCCAGCCTTTTTGTGGTCCAAATGTTAAGGCCGCTTTGGCGGCGTGTGATTTGTGTGGCCGCGTGGCCCAGCCGCCCGGCCCGGCCCCACGGCAGCAGGCATGGCCGCTCGTTGCTCGCCAATTACGAGACGCTCGATGACCGATTGTCGCCCGGCCACTATTATTTTCGGGAGCGACCGAGACAGGGGCATAACTTACTGTGCGCCGCAGCCGGCCGCAGCGCTGGCGCCAGTGGGGCCTCCCGGGCCGGTGGCCGGTCTCAGAGGCCCCGGTCCTCAAAAAGTGCCTTGAGCAGCCTCGTCTAGCTGCAGTGATATACACTGGCCGAGGCCCGGCCTTTCAATTCAAGACGGCATAAACAATGAGGATGGACACCAGCACCACGCTCGGCCACGCAGCCACGCACCGCGCGTCCAGCTCCACTAATAAAAATTTGGTTGCGTTTATTATTTTCCAGCGGATGATTTACAGCCGTGCCGCGTGATAGTTGAGTCGATACCGTGCCGCGCCGCGTTTACTGACCGACTACTACACGATGGCGCGCGAGGCGGTGCCTCCCCTTACTTAGGCCCGTTGCGTGTACAGTGGTGTACAGTGCAGGGGGAGGGCCGCCGCCGTGGCACGCCGTCCGCCGTCCGGGATGGCCAGGCCAGGCCAGGGGTTATTTCCATTTTAAAGTCCGTGACATCGTAATTCCTCCAACTGCGCCACGCCACGCCACGCCACGCTCAGGCCCTCCAATGGGGCGACGCCGTGCGGACACTCGGCCGCCCATTGGAGGACGTCGCGCGGTGCGGCCGCGCGGCCCGGTGGAGCGAGCCAGCCCCGCCAGCCCAGCCAGCGAGCGGCCAGAGAGAAGGGGACAGAGATATACGACCGCGTGTGGCGTGGCGTGCCGTGCCGGGGAGTGTGGAATAGGACGTGTGCAGCCGGGAAGGGCGTTGTTTAGAACCTCGTAATTTGTGGTGGTTGTTTTACACGCGGCGACGCGGCCCGCCTGCACAATTGACATTGTTTCTCGGAGTGATCGCGCGACAAGGCGCTGTCGGCGCTGTCGGTAACGAGGAGCATGGCCTGCCCGGGCAGCAGTTTGAAACAGGGACAACATGGGGGGCCATGCCAAAGTGGGGTACAGTCAGTAACGTCGGCGTGGCCGGCAGCGCCTGGGGCGTAGGCATCCCCTCGGACGCACCTGGACGGCCAGGGCGGTCAGGGCGACCAGGGTGGTGAAGCGCGTGGCGGAAGGGAAAACACACCGAAACGTTTACTGTGTTCTTCGTGTGACTGGCGAGTCCTGCTCGGCCCTGGCGTCATGTCCACCAAGGCCGAGGGGCCGGGCGGCACACTGTGGCGGCACCGCGCCACGCATCGCCTCGTACTAAAAGGGACGCCAAGCACCCATAATTAGAATATAAACTGGCGAAATGCTTTTGCATTGTCTGACGTCTATACTTGCGCCTCGACACTCCTCCGGCAACATTATACGAGCGCCTCGTGCCCCCTCCCCCCTCTCTCTTCAGCCCCGTTCCCCTCCCCTCCCCCTCTCTCTTTAGCCCCGTTCCCCTCCCCTCCCCCTCTCTCTTCAGCCCCGTTCCCCTCCCCTCCCCCTCTCTCTTCAGCCCCGTCGTCCCTTCCGATCGCCCCAGCGCGGCGCGGGAGACGTTTACTGCGATACTGTACTACCTACCACCCTCGTTTGGAATGTGAGTTGCCTACTTGCAGGGGCTCCGTCGACGGTGTCTCTCTCGCGCCTCCGTGGGGCTTGAGTGCGAGAGAGTGAGAGCGACGAAAGCGCTGTTCGGAATGTGTCCTTCGTGTCGAGGTCCCTGCTCATGCACCTCCTCCTGGACGTGACCTGGAACCGCCAGGAACGGCGCGGACAATGCGACATTACCTCCCAGGGCCCGCGGTGCAGGCGGTGCGCTCAAGCGCCCAAAGACAGCCGGGGGCAGCGAGCAGCAGCGAGCAGAGAAGGCAGTCTGTGGCCAGACCGTCAGGACGTCCCCACAAGCGCCACAAGCAGGCCATTGTCGGGTCGGCAGCCCCGCCAGGGCCCCGCCGGTGTCCATCACCGTCCCGTTGTGCTCCGCGGACTTCATGACCGCCGTCTCGTCGCTCTCGGCGGCATTTGCCTCGGAACGACGACGACCCGAGGCCCACAGTGCAGTGTCGGGCCGGGCAGCTTCGAGTTCCAACAAGGGTGGCCCTGTTCAGTTTGTTTCGGTTTTGTGCTTTTTGGAGCGATATTGCGGGGAAACAGGGGGAGAGTGTGTGACTTTGTGGGCTTGGCTTTGGCTAGTCGGAGGGGTCCGAATGGATCTATCGCTCTCTCTCGCACCCCGACGGCGGAAGCCATGAGTGCGAGAGAGATAGACGGCGCCGCACTGCTAGGACGGCGATGGACAGGGACAGCCCCAGCCAATCCATGCGAAGCAAAGCAAAGCCCGCGCGAGGACAGCCAGGCGGAACAAAGCCTGCTAGAGCCGCGCGCGTTTCGGCTTCGGCCGGCCTCGGCCCGAGTGGAAGGGTTGGTGCCCGCGGCTTTTTAGCTTTTGTTGTTGCCACGAAAAGAGCCTCCAATCCAAGACAGCACCATCGATTTGGACATAGTTATGGACGCGCCATGCTTAATCTTTTGCTTGCTTTCTGGGCTACTTTTTGGGACGGCCGAGAAAAAGAACTTTTGGGAACGAGTAGTAATACAGTGTCCGAAGGGTTGCCTGTATCCCCGGCGGAAGTGCTTCGTGTCTTAGGTCGTCTGACTTTCGTTTTCTTTCTTTCTTTCTTTCTTTCTTTCTTTCTTTCTTTCTTTCTTTCTTTTTCTTTTGAGCATGGATTAGGAATGAACACAACAGGTTTATAATTCGAATTCACATAGGTGAAATTTATTTATCGCATTCGGGGGAACACAATCATACGTCACTATACATAAATATTTATAACAAACGTACAACGATTATATTTTGTAGTATATATAATATGTATATATTTCGAAGATATCGACTACAGCAGCCGAAAATGAGAAGCTACATAACACAGGAACCACAGCTTTCAGGTATCACTCACGCGTCAGATTCATACAGCATGCTCACCTTCACAATTTCACACACACACATGCAAATGCAGTCGCCCATTTACACGCCTCATTCACACGGACTGCGGGTAGCAGCAAAAACAAAGTACCCATAACACAAACTGGCGCCTAGCCACAGTGAGCGGTCAGTCTTGACGGTAGCGGCATTGTCACAAGTCAACAAAACAAATAAAATCTTATTCTTCAAAAACTGTGGCAGGTAGAGAGCCGACCTATACAATTCTATGATACATATTTTCATAACAATTTTAATTACAATAAAAACGAATTCCATTATGTCGCTTGCTTTTAAGCAAAAATGATTGGACTTTGGCAAGCCACCTTGAGACACTGGAGATAATAATTAAGTACTTCATTAACAATTCTTGAATGAGCTCTAATTACATGCGCTAAAGATAATAGTATTTACACGCAATGCCGCTACCCGGACTGGCAAACATCACATGAACTTCGTATGAGAGATCCTTCCATGGAAGGGGAGGTAAAACGAATGGCGTTAGGCCCATCAATAAATATCAAACAACTCCACGAGTATTGTCAACAAAACATATCACTTACATAAAAAGAACGGACACAAACATACGACAAAAACCTATGCATTTCATGAGGCAAAAAAGAAACAAAATGACTTGGAGATTCAAAATAATAATTACGAATTGAACAACTTCATACACGCTCATGGATAGGAGCCTTAAAATGCACAATGTACACGACAATAAGGAAACGCGCGAACTCACAGCAAGCTTACAAACAAATTAAAAAGATCAATAAGGTTTGATTTGGCTAGTTTGAAAGGTACCTGCTAGACTACACTCGTATACAGAGGTGTGGTACAGGGTAAGGTGATCACATGTCTCGCCGCGTGCGGGCTGTGCGGGGCACGCCGCCGCGGCATTTGGCTTAACAAGGCCGCAGGCCTCAGGCCGCGAGGCCACAGCGTATGTACACTCTAGGCTAGTAGGAGTATTTTTAACATTTTAAATAGGACTGTTTATTGCACTTGGGTGGGCCTCGGCCGTTATTGAGATCACGCTACCGCGCTACCACCAGTAGGGCGGCGGCAGGCCGGGGCCCATGCCCATGCCGAGGCCGTGACAGTGGCCGGGGCCGGGCCGGGGTCACGAGTCGGAGGCCGAGGCCCTCCGCTGCGCCAGGGCCGCGGGGTGCGCGGGGTGCGCCAGGGCGGCGGCGTGCGCCAGGCCGAGCGGCAGGCCGGGCTCCATGGCGGCCAGCGCGGCCAGCCCGCCCGGGTCGCTGCGACTCCTGGCGCCCAGGAAGGGGTCGTGCGCGTCGTGCAGTTTGGCCGGCCGCCCCATGAGCTCCTCGTCCAGGCTGCGCGGCGAGGTGGGCGACGCCGACCCGGCGCGCCCGTTGAGCGGGTGGAAGCCCATGGCGCCCATGGCCGGGTAGCCGAAGGGCCCCATGAGCAGCGGCTGGTGGTCCAGCGGGCGGCCGCCCTGCATGCCCTGCAGGCTGGGGTCCGCGTACAGCCGGGCCAGCACGTCGGGGTGCGGCAGGAACATGGGGTGGCCGGGCTTGTCGCCGTGCGTGGGCGACGACGACGTGGACAGCAGCTTGCGGTGCAGGTTGAGGTTGGCGCTGTGCCGGTCGCGGCTGCGCTTCGACGGGAAGGCCGCGTTGCACCCGTCCACCGAACACTTGTGCATCAGCTTGAGGTGCACGTTCTGGTAGTGCGTCTTGACGCCGAAGTGGTTCTGGAACACCTTGCCGCAGGCCGTGCACTTGCGCGGGTTGTCTTTGTCCATTGGCACGTCGATGTTGGCGAAGTAGCCGTCGGGGTAGAAGTAGCCGTCCTCATCATGGGACCCATCCCCTAGTTCCAGGGACGAGGCCGGGGATGCCGCCGGGCTGCAGGGCGGCGATCCCGCGCACGGTGAGGACGGCACCCCGTTTGGGTCCGCCTCAGCTTTTATCACAGAGTCCTTCTCCTCCTCGACCTCGTCCTTGACCTCCTCCTCGACGCCGCCGGCGGCGCTCTTCATTTCTCGAACACGGTTTTCAGTTGGCGGTTCTATACTGTCCCCCTTTTTCTCTTTGGTAAGCCGAAAAACCTGGTCGTCCTGGCTGCTTCCCTCCTCGTGCGGCGGCTGCACCGAGTCCTGCTCGCGCGCCAGTCGCTCCTCCGTGTCCATGTGGTCGGGGCTCTTCCGCCTGACGGCCAGGTCCAGCCCGGCCTCCTGGGGGGCGCCCTGGTCCATGCCGGGGTACATGTGGCTGCCGGCGTCGCTGGACGAGTCGTCGTAGTTGGACAGGTCTTCGGCGGCGACGGGCTGCGTGCACCGGGTCGGGTTCTGCGACTTGCGCTTTCTGCCACCCCTGGCCTGCTCGCTGGGCTCGTGGGCCGCGAAGTGGTGGCCCAGGCCGTGGTGGTCCACGCCGTTGGACGCCGACGCGGCGGAGGTCCCCAGGTCGAGGGCAGACTGGGAGTCGTCGTCTGTGTTGCTGTGGTCATCGCCGTCGTCAGACACGGAGAACTTGAGTCGCTTGGACTGGTGCAGGTCTTGGGGCTCGTCATCGTCGTCGTCGGCGCCACCAACCACCACGATGCCCTCCTCGTCGTCATCGTCATCCTCGTCCATGCTCATGGAGGTCATCTCTCGGTGTCGCTCGCGCGCCTCCCGCTCGTAGCGCAGGGTCAGGCCCAGGCTGTTCTTGAGGTTGAGGTCGAGGGCCGAGGGGCCACCGGCCGCGGCGGCAGCAGCTGCCATAGCGGCGTTCCGGGGGTCGCGCGGGTCCCTGGGGTCCTGGGGCAGCAGAGGGAAGGCGCCGAAGGACAGCGGGTTGAGCCCCACGCCGAGCCCCGCCTGGTGAGGCGGCAGCAGGATGGGGTGCGACTGTGCGGACCTGCCGTCGTGCGGAGAGATCTTGCGGCGCAGGTGCGGCGAGTGCAGCTTGGGGTTGGGGTTGGCGGAGTGGCGGTTCCGCGACCGTCTCGACGAGAACATCATGGAGCAGCCCTCTACGGTGCAGCGGTGCATCTCGCGCAGGTGCACGGCCGAGAAGTGGATCTTGAGCGCGCCCTTGTCGCAGAACGTCTTGAGGCACACGTTGCACTGCACGCGCTTCTTGCCCGTCGTGGGGTTGATGAGCTGCGTGCCCAGGTTGGCGGGGAGGTGCGAGGACGGCCAGGCGGACTGCCGCTTGAGCGGCGAGAAGGACGAGGACGGGTGCTTGGACGAGCGCTGCTGGGGCGGCGAGCCGGACCGCTTGGCCCGCATCTTGTCGTCCCTCGCGTCCCTGTCCCTGCTCAGGTTGAGCGCAGAGTTGTCATCGTCGTCGTCGGAGCCCGAGCCGAAGTCCGAGCTGCCTGCCCGCGAGGTGAGGTCCGTGCTGGGCGACTTGCTGCCCGGGTGGGGCGGCAGCGAGGGGTGCCCGGGGTGGCCCGCCATGGCGGACGAGATGAGCCCGGGGAAGGAGGACGCCACCAGGTTGGCGGCGGTCAGGCTGGAGTGGCCGAAGGGCAGCGGCAGGGAGCTCATGGTGGAGGTCGGCACGGTCGGCGGCGGGGGTGGCCTGAGGTTGAGGAGGCCGGGGACGCCGCCGGGGCCTGCGGGGGGCTCGGGGCTGGAGCGCACGGCGCTGGCCGCCATCTTGCGGAAGTCGAAGGGCTGCATGTTCTGCAGGCGGTTGAGCGGAGAGCTGCCGGGCGGCGACTGGGGCTGCGGCTGCGCGCCGCGGTTCAGGAAGCTGAGCGCGCTGTGGGGCGTGGGCTGGCCCGACGGCGGCGACTGCCTGCCGACGGACGAGGGCCCCGACGGCGCGTGCTTCTGCTGCGGCGACACTGGCGCCACGCCGGTGGACGGCGGGCCTTGCCGTGACGACGCGGAGCTGCCCAGGCTGAAGTTGAGCGCGTGGGGCATCCTCTTGTCGTCGTCCCTGTTGTCGCGGTGTCCGGGGCTGGTCGGCGGCGGCGTGTGCCTCGACGGCGCGGGGGCGGTGGTGGCGGCGGGGCCGTCACGCTGGTGCGGCGAGTGCACCGGCGTGGTCTTGACGGGCTCCTCGCGGGCGGGCTGTAGCCTCTCGTGCGCGTGCGAGGCCTCCTGGCCGGGCTTGCTGGACTGTGAGGACGCCGACGACGCCGGGCTGGGGCCCGCGGAGGCGGCTCCAGCAGCGCCGGGGGCGGCGGCACCGCGCAGCAGCTGCTCAGTCAACGCCCGGGTCTCGCCGAAGCGCAGGAACTGTTGCAGCACCAGAGGCTCCTCCTCGGGGCTGCAGATGTTGAAGCGGTCCAGCGACGCGCCGTTGGCTTCCTGCAACAGCAAAGACAGGTGCGTTAGCGAAAAGGCTTGCCGTTTTCGTTTTTCCGGTGTGCCGGCGCAAGGCTTCAGACCGTGGCGCGAGGCGAGGCCTTTACAGCGTGATAAAAGTTGCACAAGCCGCCCACCCCCTGGACCCCCGCGGCCGGCCGGGACGCCGAGACACGAGGCCCCTAAATGAGGTAATTCATGCATTTTTACGCTCTGCTCATCCCGAGCTGTCTCTGCGTTGGCCCCGCGCGACGGCCGAGCGGCGGGCCAAGGGAGGGAGGCAACAAAAATCGATAAATAAATCAACCGCTAGAGGGCGTCATCGGCGGCAGGTCGGTCGGGAGCGGTGAACAAACTCATACGGCACGCATTACGTGATTACCTCGGCTCCAAATTAATAACATGTCATTACGGAAATGACGGCCGCCACCGCAGCGTGTGTGTTTGTGTGAGTGAGCGGGCGCGCGAGGGGAGGCGTCGGCGGGGAAGGGTTGACCCGGTGACGTGGGTGGCGAAGCGTGTCGCGTACAACAGGGCCTACTACACTGTACAGCCCCGCGGCGAGGCGACGACGCGGCGCACAATGGGCGCCGCGGACAATGGCAGCCCCTCCTGCAGCACGCCCTGCACGCCCTGCAGGCCCTGCAGGCCGCCGCACTGCACGGGGCGCAGCGCGGCGCCACCCCGCCGCGTCGCGGCTAAGCGGTCGACATTTAGCGGCCGTCGGCGCCTGCACTCTCCGCCTCTCTCCATCGACGGGGCGGCGGTGGCCAAGGCGGTGGCGGTGGGCGCTCTGGTGACAGGCCGGCCCGCCTAATGACAACGCGCGGCCCGACCGACTCGGCCGCTCGGAATGCACCCTGGGGCGCATGCTGCATGCACCACCACTATGGTCCACCGCCGCCGACGCCGACGTGCACGCCCCGCCCCCGGGGCCCCGCCTGGTCAGGCCGCCCAGCCCAGGCCCCTAACCATCAGGACCGTAAAATTTTCTGCAGGCGGACCGACGCAGTGCGCTTCAGGGCTCAGGATGTGTGTGTGTGTGTGTGTGTGTGTGTGCTGGAGACGAGGCGTGGCGGCGGGCGTGTGTGAGTGTGTGTACGGTGGTGGGTGAGGTGAGGGCCAGAGATGACACCGAGGCGCCTGTATCCTGCGACCGGCCCAGCGGCCCTGCATGCCGACATAATGACACCGTCCAGGTACGCCGGCTGCCCGGGGCCCGGGGGCACTGCGGGACCTCCGTCAGGAGAGTCCTGCCCGACTCGGGACCGAGGGGACAGGGTGACACGCCCCGGCCGGCACGGCCAGGGCCCGGGGTATCACTAGGGGGCGGAGGACGACAGTGCGGGAACATTTCATTATGTAATTGTAGCGGGCTGCCCGGCTCACTCACAGACGACGGGACGGACTGCGGGACGGACGGGCCGTCCATGACAGGGTCGGGGAGGCTGGCCGAGGCTGGGCTGAGCTAGGTGCGCTGCATAATGCATGGAGGTGTGGGCCAAGCGGCAAAGCGCGGCCCACTCCGGAAAAAGGGGAAAGCACCGGGAGGGGGAGTGCTCCAAGTAGAGTAATAAAAAGAGGGCGACACCGAGTGGAAGCTATCAATTTGGGAAGAAGACTGTGTCCCTGCACGGCCCGGCACGGCCCGGCACCACGCACACGCACGCGATGCGCTCCAGTGTCTCCGAGTCCCCGTCCTGGCAGTGCAGGCACCCCGCTCAAAATTGGAGCGCCATTATCCCGTGGGTAAACAACCGTGCAGCGCGACGGCGTGTCGCGACGACGGCCGGGGCGTGTCTCGGGCGGTACGCGGACACCACGACGACGACGGGGTACATTTGTCGCCTCGGCCGGCCGAGTGGAAGGCGAAGCACGGCGTCGAGCAATCCAGCGCACCCGTCACGGCGCGAGCACGCACGAGCGGTCACGGCCGTGATGGGATGCGCGCGCGCGGCGTGACGTGGCGCGCTCTCGCGGCCCTCCGACGAACCACTGCGGCAGGCGCGGCGGCGGCCGGCCGCGTCGCAGTTATTACAATAATTAGTGACCCCTCGGATCGTTCGGGGGCTTCGGGTCGCGGCGGGGAGGGGGGAGGGGAGGAGGGGAGGGGAGGGGGCACGTGCGGTAATCGCAGCGACAGACAGCACCGCGGACTCGGCGGCCGCGACGTGACACGACACGAGGGTCCCGCGGGATCTCGATGACATCACCGTCGGGAATAAAACTCGTTGGCGACATTCTCCTTTGACGAGGGCCGCCGAGCCAGCCTGCCAGTGGGGCCGGGCAAGGCGGCAAGGCAGTGGGGCCACGCGCCGCCCTTGAGGCCACGCCGTGCCGCGCCGTGCCACGCCGCGGCGACTCGGTTCCGGGTGACGGCCGTGAGGGCCGCGGAGACACCGCCCGGGGCTATCGCCTGGCCTGGCACTGCTTGGCACAGCAAGCCAAGCATTATCGTCCGCGACGTGCCGCCGTGCATGTCACTCTCGCTAATTTTGATTGACAGTGTGGTCGCCGGCCTCCTGCAGTCTCTTCCGCGCACCTGTCCGCCGGCCGCGCCGCCCCGAGCGACAAAGACACACGGCCAACGCCTTGTAATGACACACACGTTCGCCGTCCCTCTCGCACCTCGACGGGACTGGACGGGGCGCCCCACGAGTGCGAGAGAGATAGAGCGGCGCGAGCGCTGTTCGGAGTCAGCCTGCTGGCCGATCGATACGCTATTATACCGGGATGCATCCAGCCAGGCAGGCAGCCAGCCGGCGAGCAAGGGCCCCAAGCCCGCCGTGATTCGGCCGTCTCCCTCGCACCCATGACAAAGCAAACGGGAGCAACAAAGACGCAAATGGGACAAGAGCGGCGGCGACGGGGCGACGTCTGAGACGCGGCTGTCACGTCAAAAAGGAATCGACCTTGAGGGCGGCGCGGCTCGGCGGCCAGGCGGCTCAGCCGCGCGGCGCTGACGGATCAGACCGGGCATGTCGCAAGTCAAGCCGGTCCGGGCTGGGCACGGCCGGGCCGGTAGTACTCGCCTCGCCGGCCAGCCCCGCCAGCCCGCCAGGCCATCATGCAAGGCGACGAGGACCGACCGGGGGACAAGCGCGTTAATTACCAGCCATGACGCGACACCTCCAGGCAGGGCGTGGCGTGGCGTGGCGTGGCGTGGCGTGGCGTGGCGTGGCGCGGCACGCCATGGCCAGGTGTGTCCTCGCCGCCGGCACTGTACATGCAGGCGGCCGTACGACAGTGTCACGAATCAATAACCCGCGCAGCGTCTCCGAGAAATAATACCACCCGGAAACTAATTTACGTCCCCAGGGTTTAAGTGTTTGGCGGCGTCATTTTTCAGTCCCAACGTTCCCAAGCTGTGCCGTCTTTCAAAAAATATTTTTGCCAAGTGTTTGAAACTTACATTGAGGATGTATCCGCGGGCGTAGTCGTCCTGCGTCCAGCCGAAGCCGCGCAGCACCTGCACGACCTGGTCGGGCCGCAGCACGCTGAAGAGGCGGTCCAGGAGGATCTTGAGGCGCACGGGCAGCGCGTGGCAGCCGTACAGGGCGAGGGAGGCGATGTCCAGCAGGGCGTGCGGCTGCACGGGCTCCACGGGCTCCACGGGGCCTTGGCCGAAGTTCTGCCGGCACCCCAGCTTGTCTAGTGCTGCAACAACAGAGAGGACGGTGAGACGCGCCCAAGAAAGGGTGGACGGCTACAATTACACGCAGGGGTGGCACGTTACAAATTAAGGGATGGACTCCATGCAGAAAATAAACGAGTGAATATTGCATGAAGACACTCGGGGGGAGGATGTGTATTATGTAAACAGCCGGCCTCGGCCAGCCTCGGCCAGGCAGGGGTCCGGTTTCAGATAAGAGACCCTCTTCACCGCCACGTCGGCCACGTCCACGGCCTCGGACATCTGCAGCAGCAGGACCACACCCGCACAAAAATCGGCGGCGCGGCCGGAGCTTGGGCGTGGCCCGCCAGACGACGGCGGGCGACCAGGACGCCAACAACAAAACAACAAATTCGGGGGAAATAATCAACAATTTCCTGGGCGCCGCCACGGCGCGACGGCGTGTCCTGACCCGCGCGTCCGTGCGTCGCAATGTCAAGGGGTTGGGCGGCGTGACATGTCGACACGCCTGTGCCACTCAAGCAGGCCGATAATTGTGCCCGGCCGTCTGCGACGACCTGGCCGAGGCCTTGGCCGCGGCCGCCAACAAGACCCTAACCGTCGACGGTACCCGCTGCAGTTGGGGTCCTTCTTGGGCCGCCCTGCCGGCCCCGCCGGCCCTGCCCTCCGCCCGCCTGCGCCTCCCCCGGTGAATCACGCGGAGCCGCGACCCCCTCCACCTCCCCTCTCTCTCGCACCTCCCCGGGACGCGCCGCGAGTGCGAGAGAGAGGCAGCCTGCAGGCGGATTCACACGCCAAACCGGTCGGCGCGCAATCACGGCCCGGTGCACCGGGACGGCCGGGACCGGGACGGCCCCCCGAATTTGCCCCCGCGACCGCCGGGCTGGGCCGCCGGGGAGGACATGCGACGCGTAATGGTGGCCGGAGACTCCGAGACACCAATTACCCCCGCCAGCCATTCACGCGAGACACTCGCTGGAGCGGCCGCGCTTCTTTTTCCTCGTTTTCTAGGAACGACAGGAGGAAGGGGGGGGAGGGGAGGGGCTCGTCGTCCCACGCGCACCTCGCGTGACTCGGGCGTCTCGAAAAGCGGCACGATCGCGGTGAGGATAAACAGAAACGATTACTTTTCGTCCCTCGTCGTCTCGTCGTCGTACGAGGCAATCACTTAGTAAGGCGAGACGGCGGCGGGCGGGCCGGAGCCGAGCGGGCGGAGCGGGCGGAGCGGCGTACCGCCGTGGCGGCAGGCAACCCGGCGGCGCGGCTGCTCGGCGGGGCGGCCCACCCCGCCAGGCTGACGCCGCGCACGGGCTGCACGGCGTCCGAGGCCGCCGGACCGCCATCCCCGCCATGCCATGCCGTCACGGTGGCCGGGCCGTGCCGGGCCGTGCCGGGCGGGACGTTGCGGCCGGCCATTGTCAAACGCTAAACATGCAAATGCGGTGTCGGTGTCAGTATCGGGGTGACAGGAGGCCGGACCGGTATCGCCACCATCGCGCCACCACATCCGTCGCGCCGTCGCGCCAGGGGCAGCGGACCGGCACACTGCACAGCCAGCCCGGCAGGCCAGCCCGCCGTGGACCGAGGCCGCCGGGCCGCTCCACCGCTCGTCCTGCGAATCAACCTTTTCAGTGGCTGCGTGTCACCGCGCCGGATCCGCGCCCCGATCCCGGACAGTGATGTGAATCCGTCTCTCTCGCACTCGCGGCTGGTCCGAAGGGGTGCGACAGAGACGGAGTGGAAGGTTCGGAATGAGACCACGGGTCGGCGCGGTCCGTTCCCACCGGCGGCACCGCGTGACCCCGCCGCCGGCCGCGCGGCCCCGCGGCGTGCCCGACGCCCTAACTACCGCGAGCTGTCCGTCCGCGTGGTCCGCGTCGTCCGCCACTGACAGCCACCCGATTAATACCCGACGAAACCGGTCCGCGTGTGTGCGTATGGCCGCCGAGCGGCCGGCCGGCCAGCGCGCTGTCGTCGCTCCGTCTCTCTCGCACCCGTGGGGCGTCCCGCGGGACCCGCAGTGGTGCGAGGGAGACAGAGCACTGCTGGGAATCGGTCTGCCGGGGACTGCACGGCGCGGCTCCACCAGGCATCGCTCGGCATGGCTCCCAAGGAGAGCCGTCACCTTTCGGAATGCCACGCAGTCACCGCCATGCCGCGCCACTGGAGGAATCCGCCCGTCCAAACTGTCCATCTCTCTCCCCGCCACTAATCCGCCGGCAATTTAGTTGCCAGGGACGTGGCGGGACGCGGCGGGACGCACAGGCGGGACGTGGCAACATGAAAATGGATACGCCCGACCGGAATTTCTCAACTTTAGCACCTGTTTTGCCCTCCCCCCCCTCCCCTCCCCCGGCGAAGGGTCCGCCGCCGGGGGGACTCGGCACACTCTTGTGCCTCGCGCAGCGAAACGGGACATCCGAGAGTAAGTACGACTGTGGCGCGCAATTAGTGCGCAAAGTGCTCACTTCCTACCTCGCACGCACGCACTAACACACGCCGGGATGAATGACTGTCGCGCCAAGAGGCACTGTTTGCAGTGTCGTAACGTCGCGCCACTCTTTGGGTGAAAATGACAAACACAACCCCGGCACTCAAACACGCACACAGTGATACAATAAAAGGCGGCCCACGTTTGCCGACTCCATTCTCACGTCGCGCGGCAGCGCGCCACGCCCAAGGGTCGCCGAGAAGGCCTCCACACCTGTGCCTCGCTCGCCGCCGCCACGCCACTGCGCGCACCGCCAGCCAATCACGGGGCGACACCTGCCGCTGGATCTAGGTCCGCGTCGTCGGCAGCCACGGCCGCCACGGCAGCCCGCCTCTCACTCCGAGGCTCCACTGCCAATCAAGGACGCCATCACGGTGAAAGGTTAATGTGCCCACTGATAAGCAGTCCAATCCGCGGCGCGACGTGCCGGCCGTGTGTGTGTGTGTGCTGGACAGGCTAATCACTACACGGGACACACAGCGGCGGCCAGAGCCAGGCTCGGCCAGGTCACACAGTCAGGCGAGCATGTCCTCTAACGAACCAACGAGTAAGCCTAGCGCGACCCGCATACCGCAGCAGAGCGTTTCGCATCATCCCCGTCTCCGTCGCGCTTACGCGGCACGCCCCGCGAGTGCGCGAGAGAAGGGCTTCGGCCGGCACGAAACGGCGTAAAGCGGACAAATTTATGGAGAGGTCGCCACTTGTGGTATACGTACACTGGGCGTCGCGGGGGAATCAAAACTGTTGCTACGAAAAAAGAGTCAACAAGGCGGCAGGCGCGGCACGGGCGTGATAATGGGTGTTAACGCACGCGATACCAAAGGGTTGATTCGCGTGCGGCACGCGCGACGCACCGCGACGCACGCAAAGAGTGTAGCGTTTAGTCCCGACACGGCGGAGTGCGTGGGCGGGCCGCCGGCCGGGATTGAGACACTGGAATTAAACTGGGGGCGGAGGGAGCCGGACTCTGTTTTTCGGGTTTCTTTCTTTCGAGGGCATCGGGCGCGGAATTTGTGGAAACGGGAAGCGGCGGCGGCGAGCGAACGCGTCACTCTGCCAAAGCGTCGTAAACCCGCGCTCATCACTTTGGGGGTTATTCTGGGCGCGACGCCTCAGCGACGCCCTCAGCGACGCCCTCAGCGACGCCGCGGCGTCCCCCGTCCCGTCCCCTCGCCGACGGCTGCCCGACGGCGACCCGTAAATAGCGAGGTAAGGCAGAGGACACGGCGCAGGCCGCCGCAGGGCGCCGCAGGCCCCGCCCAGTGCGTCGCCGCGTCGTAGGCTCCGCCCCCGCCATCCGCCCCACTCCGGACCGCGTAGACACCGCCCACCGGCGCTTTGGTTCCTTTGGTTCCGCGCGTCGCCGCCACGCGGCGCTCGCGTCGCCCGCCGTCGCGCCAGAGTCCCGCGGCGCGGCCCGGGCTCGGCTCACCTGTAGCCAGAGTCCTCGGCATTGAATCAGACGTGACGAACGCGGTTCGGGGAATCGGTGACATTGGCTGGAGAGTCCACCCTGGGGCCCACAAGGCGCGCACCCAATAAAACGGAATAAAATGTACAGTCACGGGAAGGAGGTTCCGAGAGAGCGAAGAAATGCTCAAAGAAATGGAAAGCAGTGCAACCCAGAATGCGTCGAACACTGCCAAAAAATATTTAAGGAAGCAAAAATGAATTTAGAAAATTAGGAAGCGAAGAGTATTGCGAGGATGGCGTGACACAGTGCCCGATCTTGCCAAAAAAAATCCACGAGTCAGGGCAACACAGTGAATCTATAGAATAATTCCAGTCAAGCTCAGCAAAATTTAGAGAGGTTGACAGTTTGTTACAAAGCGGTGCGCGATGCACAAAGCGTATTTTTAAGTTCTATCCTGACAAGCGTTAGTTTAGATGGTTTACAAGAGAAAAATGAAGAAAAAGATAGTCGCTGAAAGCCGAGAGCACCTTGAAATTTTTCTATCCGACCGCACTGTTCAGGTCTCTGATCACTAAATCCGAACCTTCGCAGGTCGCTTAGCGTAATAGCAAAGTCGAGCCATGCGATAAATTTCGCCGGGAACAGAGATTTTTCTGCGATTTGCTACTGTGTAATAAAGTAAAGCACTGCCCGTTCCAACATAATTTTAAATCACTTTGGTTCGCTGCACCGCAAGTGTCAAAGTGTTACCGAGTCTTGGAAAAAATCCGCCAATGACCACCACCGACTCACAAAAGGCATCACCACCAAGTCGAGTTCACACGCATCACTGTCGCGAAGCACATCACTGTGGCACTTTGAATTTCTTGGTTGCTCACTGATTTCACAAACACTTCCCGAACGACGGAGCGAACCTTTGGCGCGACACTTAGTGAGGAAGGCGGTATGGTCAGGGGACCGTCAGCCTTCGGGGCCTGAGGGCCTTGGGGCACGCCGACACACTCTGGACTCTGTACACTCAATGACTTGACACACGACACCGGAACTTCACTTTGATTCGATGCACTTGGAAAGTCTTGAGCCACTGGCGGGGGAAGTCCACCGAACTGCATCCCCGTTGACACTTTTGTGACACTCACACCAACACGCACACACGATCTCAAACGATCGCACCCGTGGATCACCAAGCCCTACCTTCTTCCATTGTTTCCATGGTCTTGTAGCTTTCCATGAGACCGACGATTTTGGCGGCGGCTGTCACACAGGGGCCTATCACTGCATCTGTCACCAGAGTCGCCACACTGGGAGCACGCGTAGCGGCGCCATCCACGGCACGCACAAATGAGGGAGTGGCTTCCGACTGGGGCTTCACTTGAGGATTCACACACAGCACTTGTCACTACGGGCGAGCATGTCGCGACAGGGCGCAAGGCGGCGCAAGGCGGCAAGGCGGCAAGGCTCGACGTGGCTCAGACACACGACCAGTCGGCGGAGAGGCGCTGGGCAGACTGGGGGAAGGGACTGTCACAGCGCGGCGGCAGCGCGGCGCAGAGCAGGCACAGGGTCCGCAGGGTCGCCCCGGTCCCGGCTCGGCTCGGCCCGCTGCGCCAGGGCTCGGCTGGCTCCACTCGGCCCGGCTGCTGCCACTGCGTCCCCGCAGCACGGTCGTCTGTCCGTGTGGCGCTACCGCCGCCGCCGCTGCCGCCTCCACCGCCGCGACGCCGCCCGCGCCGACGCCGCCGCTACCCCCTCCGCCACCGCCGCCACACGGCCGCCGCCGCGCTGCCGCTCGGGTCGCCTGCTTGGCGCTGGTTCGGTGTTCGGCCGAGCTCGGTCCCCGCTCCCCGCCCCGCCCCGCCCGAGACTGGGACAGGTCGGAACGAGCGGTGCTGCCATCTGGCGGCGACCGTCGCTTCTCCTGCGCTGTCTCGGCCTCGGCCTCCGCGACGCGCCCGGAGCCCGGACGCCACTCCCGTCCCTCCGGTCAAGGCAGGCCAAAGTCCGTTCAACTTGTCCCATCGAATCAAGGTGCCAATTTGGGCATGGCAGTATTTGGGCGCCTCGCCCCGCCTCGCTTCCTGGCCGTCCTCTGGATCTCGGCACCGCAGCACCACGCAGCACCTGTTGTGGCGGCCTGCCTTAGTGCTGCCTATTAGAATAAAGGCAATCGCCGCGAGAGAGAGAGAGAGACAGGGACACCGGCTGACTTTACGAGTTGATTGTTATGGCGGCTTTTTGGCGGGGCGGCGCGGCAAAGGAGGCCCGGACGAGGCCCGGTCGGACGTGATAACGACACGACGAGCACTTTAGGACAGAACACCGACAGGGCGGCGACATCTCAGTCTGTCCAGTACACCCCACAAAAAGAGAAACATAAATTGTAACAAGATCGGTAGAATTTCATTTTTTGAAAAACATGGTGGGACGAAATGGGGATTTTTGTGAGGCGTACATCACCGCCGCGGTATGCCTCCGCTAGAAGTCTCCCCCGAACTTTTTCGTCCTCTTTACTCATCCCACCCCACGCCACTAACGCCGCGCCGTGCCAGGCTGTGCCACGCCGTGCCGGGCCGTGCCGCCGCGCACAGATAAATATTTATGCGTGTCTTAAATCGGGACGCGGAAGGCAAGGGGTGCAGGTGAGGCACTGCGGCGGGAGAGGCGCAGGGGTGGCAACCCTAGAAAAAAGAGCTGGGGTCGCGGGAGAGTCAACCGAGAAGGCCGTTGGCTGCCGTGAAATGGCACCGTAAAGTGCGTGGGGGCGGGGAGAGTTGGCAACCCTAGAACGAAGTGGGGGGCCGCACCCCTAGAGGGGCCTCGCGGGGGGCGGGGCGGGCTGCCTAGGGTTGCCACCCCTACCGAGCAGCTGCGGCGGAGGGCTGGGCCGTAAATCATGAGCGCCGAGGCGGAGGGGCGGCGAATTTAAATTTCACCGTGTGCGTTATTTATTTTCCTTTTACGCGTCCCTTTTTTATTCCACTCTCCTTTTTCGCGCGACGCTCGCGGAGTCTCGCGGCGCCAGATAAACTTCGCAACAAAAACACCAATTAAAAACATTTACTCCTTCCGCGGGTCGGCGTGACGAAAAGGGGCAAAACGAGTCCCGCCCCGCCAGGCCAGCTAGGCCACCACCGTGGGGTACAGTCTGGTACAGTATAAATTGGCGCTCCGAACGCCCCCGCGCCCCGCCGCGGGCTACGCCACTTACTTCTTTACCCCCGCGAGCATCATTTTCGCAGTAACAACACGCACGGCAACAACCCCCGCCCCGCCCGCCCCGCCGGCAGCGGTGTAGGACCTCCTCGGGAGACATGAGCACACCCCCGCGAGGCCTTTATAAACACATACACACGCGGCGGGGCGGGGCTCATGCTGGTCCTAACGGCCGGGCCGCCACGGCGAGGCGATGCTACCCAGCTCCTGTCGTGTGTTGGCATTCACAAGGCAGCAGCCACGACTTTTCCACGCCGCGTCCAAAATATGGATGTTTAGAAAAGCCAGAGCAAGGCGGCTGGGCCGGCTGGGCCGTCTGGCAGGGGCAGACCGCCGCGCCGCTGCAGCGCGCATGTCACGTGGCTTCACCTCGGCTTCATCAGCAGCCAGAAAGTCGTCCCGAAGCACACAGAGTGCCCTTATCAGACATTTGAGAGCACTTTTTGGAGCGGGAGGTCGCACACTGGGCCGGACGCATTCAGGTGCAACACGGCGTGGCGCGCGGTGCAGCAGCGTGGCCGCCGCGATGGATGTGTGTTTGTGCCTCGGCGACGCCGACGCATTCCAGGAAGTAAACAGGCTGGCGACTGGCCTGATGGGCACCGCACCACACCGCCATGGCCGCCATGGCCGCCGTCACTGCAGCCCCTACGACGTGGCGCGGGCCTTTTTGTTTACACTCACACACACACTCACACAGAGGAACCAATCACCTCCTTGGCGGCGGCGGTGGTCCTGGGGGTCAAATGGGGCGCGACTCGCCGCTACCGCTGCCCCCGCCGCGGTGTGCCATGTGTATACGTAAAGACAGACGCTGTTGGACACCGTCGACGACGGACAGGAGCCGGGAGCAGAAGCCAGTCCCTCCCCCCCCCTTTCCTGACGCCCCGAATTCGCGGACCTCGCGAGCAGACACTGATTCAGTGCGTCCGGACGGCGGCCCGTCGGGGTGGTTCGACGGCGGCCTTTTCCACTGTGACTCGTCGGGGTGGAGGAGGGCGCGTTGTTCACACGTTGTACACCGTATGGCCGCAAGCTGCTCCCTTGCTCATCGACACACACACTGCCCAGCTCCCTGTGCAACGTTACGTTTCAGTCAGTTTTCCGGAGACGGCACGGCGTAAAACTGTCTTCCCAGGCACCAACCCCTTGGACTCATCCCGACGTAAACACGCGGCGCGGCGGCCATATGCCTCGGCACACACACACAGCCGCAGGGCGGACGAGTTCGACTTGGTCCAGCTTTTTGACGGTATGACAACAAACGTTGTAAAGGGCGGTGCGGCTAGGGAGACAGAGACACCAACACACACTACACCACACGCGCGCGCTCACACACACACATGCGGGATTTACGGGGCCCAAAAGGTTGCCTGTGTTATAAACAGCCAACAAACGAATTGCCCCCCATCCCGTACACATCATCACCATGCGCGCGGCGCGCCATCACCTAAGTTCCCGCAGCCTGAAAACGGCCGTGGTCCCCTCATGGTCTCGCTGCACGTGGGAAGGAAAAATAGGAGCAGCTCGGTCCGCCGGTCCGGGACCAAATTTATCCAGGTGGACGACGGCTCCCCCCGAAGTGGCCTGCAGGGCGTAGCAGGGCGTGGTGGACGGGAGCCCCTCGTGGCCCGGCCAGCCCGGCGTGGCGCAGCGTAAGCGCCCCCGACCGCAACGGCACCATGATGAATTCCAGAAGAAAAGATTTAAAAAATGGTCTGGGCGGATCGAAATATGGGTTAAGAAAGGTCCAGTGCGGGTTCGCACCGTCGGCCGCGGCCAAAGGCCGGCGGGGCGGTCCAGACGGGGGCAAGGGGGCGGTCCAGGGGGCGGTCGGGGGGCGTGGAGGGCGCCGCACAGCCGCCCGAGGTTTTAATGTTTACTAATGCAGCCGAAAGTGACACGGCCCTTTGGCCGCGGTTGTATCAATATGGATGAGTCAGCCCGGACACCCCCGAGGCCCCGCTGAGGTCACCCCCTGGAAACAAAGGGGCCGGCCGCCGACAAAAGGACAGCGAATATACGCGCCATATGAATTATTTTCCGTGAAAACAAAAGACCGCAGGGGCGGCTCCTGCGCTGCTGCTGGCCCGCTGGCCCGCTGGCCGGCCACACCAGGAGAAACGAGTCCAGAAAATGTTTCGGTGAAAAGACTCAAGCCGGTGGCGGCCAAGGCAGCGCGAGACGGGCCCAAATAATGCATGTTTGTGTGTTTGCCTTTGTGCGGACAAAAACGGCGGCACTGTAACTGACTGCGTGTGGCGCCGCGGGCCGGCCACGGCGTATTTACACACACGCCGTCCAATTTGGGGCTTTTTAAAAAAACGGCCAAAAAGCGGGCAAGCGGGCGGTCACCCACAGCCACGCACTCAGAAAGCGCATCGCTTCGCGCTTCCGCCGCCTCTTCATTGTAACGAACTGCTTACTTTTTAAGTGGCCGGTTTGGTGCCCGGCTGCCTGGCCTGCGAGATTATTAGCGGCGTATCGTCTCGGCCCCGCCGCCCCGCCGGGGCTGGCAGCCAGCGCAGGCAGCTTGGTGGGACGCAGGGCGTGACGGGGCAACAACGCACGCGTGCGCGGTGCCCGTCTCCTTGTCCACCAGCGCGTGTGGCCCGCAAGGCCGCGTGCGAAACGCGCCGCACGCCGCTCCGCCGTGAACCTGCAGCCTGGCACCTCGCGCGCCCCGGACGCCCCGTCTCGGACGCCCCGCCTCGGACGCCGCCCTGGAAGTGGCCATACCGCTCTCCTCGTCGCTGGTTGGCTGGGCGCGCCTGTGCGGTGCGCCGCGGTGCGCGCGGCGTGTGTCCGCGTGTCCCAGGCACGCAGCGCCGCAGCGGGGCCGCGGGGCCGTCGCTCTGGCTAGCGTGGCTAGCGTGCAGGCCGCGGTGGCCGCATCCCGTGAAAGTAACATTATAAAAGGCGGAGCACGGCGCGCAGCTCGCACGCGGACGGCGTGTCGTGGCGGGGCGGGGCGTGGCGGGGCGCGGCGTCACGTGCCTTCGGTGCCCAGTGACCATCAGAGCGGCCTGGCCTGCCTGCCGGCGCCTCTCGGAGCCTCTCGGACCGTGGCGCGGTGAAGGGGCTCGCGATTAAAAAGAAGCGCACAAAAACCAGTCCAGGAAAGCGGCTTGGTGGTGAAAGAGGCCGCCGTTGTGGTGGACAGACGCACCATCGCCGGCGACAACAAGCAGCCCCCGGTGGCGTACTTCGGACTTCGGGCCTCCTGGACGCTGGCCCGCTTTTTCTCCATTCCATTCCTTCCTTTTTTTCGCCACCGGAGGTGTCTTTCAAGAAGCCGGTGGCCGAGGAGCGACAGAGTGCC